CATTGAAAAAACATGAATTTAATCTAAGGAGAGTTGAAACGAGTCATAAATAGGCATTATAAAGAATAGGCAGTGTATAGAAAAAAAATCATATATTTGCATTCAGGATCAGCTCATTGCACAGAGCATCTGCTGGTTCTTCTTTACCCAAGCACTGCAATGACATCCTTAGTTTCTGCCATATTTTTAAAATATTGAAACAATGTTTACAAATGTTTAGGTTTGAGGAAAATTGTGATACCTATAGAAAAGAACTTTTATAATGAGCATAGCTTTATTTTTATAATTTAAATGATATGTAAATACAAAACTGCAAAAGATTAAGATTGTGTCTTGTTTTATTCAAACCAGATCGGACTGAGAAAACAATAAACCTTAACTTATTTTTTCTCCTTCCATAAAAAAAAGTGGAAAAAATAGAAAATGTGAAAAGGCTACAAACTCATGAATGGAATAGAATGTATCACAAATAAGCTTCACTTCTGGTAAGCCTTGGCTCTATCACACAATCGGGCAAGAAGGCCTGACATTTGTAAAAGTGAGTTAGTGCCCTGAACAATAGACATATGAGTTTTCCCAATTTCCTGAAAAGTAATTTAAAATTTTACAATTGACTGTTTACATACACAAGGACAAGAACAAAAAAATTTATATACTTACTTGAACAAAATCTAACTGGAGCATTTTGTCCATTTGGTGTCCTTTACAGACTCTGAATATATTACTGATAATATCTTCAGCAGCATAGCCCAGTTTCCAAAGATGAGACATAATCTATAAAAAGAGTAGGATTGGATTAGAATCGAGAAAACAATCAAATACATACCTCTAAAAATTGAATGTAGATAGAAAAATAATGTGAAACCTTGTATGCTTTGGCGATGTCACCAGAAACACACTGATTGAGCATGTCTTTTACAAGGACAGGATGTGGCTCATCGCATACTTTAAAAACATTTTCACTATTCACATGACCAAATCCATTGAATGTGGACTGGAGGTTGTTTAAAGCTTGTCTCATGTCACCTTGGGCTGTGAACACAATTGCTTCCAGACCATCATCAGTATATGAAACCTGTAATTTTAGAAAAGTATTTCATAAAGGATTTTTTATTCTATCTATAAACAGAACTTGGAATTAAAGAGTTTTAAAATGATAGTTTTAGTACCTGTTCCTTTTCACAAACTTCAAGTATTTTAGCTAATACTTGAGCATCTGTCAGCTTCGCACAACGAAGCATAGCACAGCGGGATTGAATTGCTTCAATAATTTTCTCGCTGTTGTTGCATGCAAGAGCAAAGCGAGTTGTGCTGCTATACAATTCCATAGTTCTTCTTAATGCTTGCTGAGCTCCTTCTGTCATGCTGTGATAAAACATTCAGGGGCAAATAAATCTCTGTAGATTATTTCATCTCACACAACGGACTGATAAAGTTTTTCCAAATTAACCTTGGTATAGAGATCTTACCTGTCCGCTTCATCAAGGATAATTATCTTGTGTTTTCCAGGGCCCAAAGTAACTTTCTGCTGAGCAAACATTTTGATCTTGTTTCGAACAACATCAATACCTCGGTCACTTGAGGCATTGAGCTCTAAAACAGCGTCTTTCATTGCTGCGCCAAGTAGCTGACGAGCAAGACACAGAATTGTGGTTGTCTTTCCTACACCAGGAGGGCCCTGAAAAATTGACAAGTAAACTGAAAAAGATAGTTCTCTTCAAAGGAAAATTTGCAACATTACATCTTTGGAGGGTGCCGAATCTTACAGCCATGATGATATTTGGAACATTGCCTACATCAGCAAATTCTTTAAGTCGCTTTATAATTTCGTCATTGCCCACAATATCAGAAAAATATAATGGACGGTAACGCTCAATCCTGAAATGAAAAGAGAAGACCATGAGACAAACACAAAGTACCGCAAAAAAACCAAGGTGGGGCAAAACAAAGATCGTTGAGTTAATTTGTCAATGGAATTAAATGACACCGTTTGCAATAAAACAGAGACACTGCATGAAAGTAAATGAACCTTTTCAATCTCAATTTATTATAGACAATACTGACCATGGACGATTATCAACTACTACAGTAGATTTGCTGGTTGAAGGTTCCACATCCATTGGTTCACCAGCATCCTTCCTGTCATTCTCGGACACCATGTTTTACTTAACTATGAGAAAAACGGAAATCTTCCCTTGAAGCTAGAAAGCAAACTAAGCAATAAATGTAAAGGTTAATTTCCTTTTGTTGATTTGTTTACCACGGTTCCCGCGCCAGTTTTGTTTTTGTTGTTGTTGCTGTTGTTGTTAAGCAGCGCCCTCCAGTACGGATTGAAGTAGTTTGACCAGGTACACCACACCCCTAACTGACGAAAGCTGCCACTTTGTTCCAATGCTTATCAGTAAACGACAACTTACTGAAGTGGCATGTAGGAATGGTGTCCAACAATGTTTTAAATGCATCATTCCGTAAAATAGAATGTGTTTGGATATCACTCGAACTTATTCCCACTTTGTTGGTCAAAGTGGATATTGACAGAACCTTTGTTTTCCCAGAATAAGGAAGGCCCTGCAATGTTTATCATGAACTTTTGTGGGGCAAATACGATGTTTCTTTAAGCATTTCCGTCTTTATAATCCGCAGCAAAATCTTATTCTTCTGAGGGTATGTTCGAATGGTTTTGAAATCAAAGTTGACGTTCGCTCGCCGCAGCAGTACTTCAAATGTCATCTCGCTACTTGCCTCTCAATTGATATTATTCTCTGCTCCAGCTGATTCTGTTGTGATTGTACGCAGCGCAGCTGACCTGTCAGGGGGGCCTTTGTCAACTTCACCTGTCAGTTGACCGACCTTTCATAGTATTCGAATCCTTATTTTCCCGATTTATTAAGAATGGGTTATAGGTGCAGCTTGAACAAACAAGCGACCTTTCGCGGATTATTCTGTATTCCTCAGTTATTGTGAAGAGCTCCATTTTCTTCCTTTCAACTTTAGTTTAAAGTGTAGCTGTGCCATTCCATTTTGCAGGCTCTTAGCTTCATATTTTTTTGCTGTGGAAAGCATAACTACTTAATCACGTAGAGAACTGAAATATCAACCTCCAATTTTCATCTTCGTTATTTATTATTCACTGTCAACTAGAACTATCTGTGAATCTCAAAATGAACAGATTGAGTCAAAATCCATAGAAACTAGCATACCGCTCCTTTGTACTTTGTAAACATCGTTGTAGTAATCCATCTTTGTTTTTAAAAATGTTTATCGTAAAGTATGAATTGATTACTAATTGCAGAGTGAGTTATGTGATTGGGGTCGAGGACCTCGATTTTCACAATGTCGTCAAGTAGCAGCAGTAGCAAAAGCCAACCATGTGCACAAAGTGCGCAATCCCTACCTAAAACAGGAGGTCCATCAAATGGAGCGGGACAGCAGCCTGCAACTCTTCTCTCAACACTTTGCAGTGTTCTGTGCCTTATCAGTGCAGTTCTCATTGCTTTCACTGCTTTTCGCAACACACTAACATGGTAAGAGGTCACTTGGAATAAGGACCAAAAGAACCACCTTCCTACATCTGTCCTTTGTTGTTTACTTCTATATCTTAGATTTTTAGAACACAATTTAACAGTATCATTTGGTGCTTGTTATTTTTACTTTGTCCTGTTTTTGTTCAGTAGATGAATGGGTTGCGTTGGCTTACTGCACTTTTCACACATGATCCTATACAGGGTGGACCAAGGACCCCGAAATATTTTGTATTGATACTGTACCGTATGGGATCGTTCAGAAAGTACGTCCGCTTTTCTTAGAATTTTTCGGCAGATTGCGGGAGCTTGGCGCCTGCGAAACTAAGGGTAGGCCTCCCAGCAATGCACGCACGCACTTGTAGGAGGATATTGCCTACCTATCAGGCGCTAGAGAGCTTGCAGTGGCTGAACTGAGCAGTAGTTTCGGAACGGCAAAGGGCGGACGTGCTCTCTGGATGATCCCTTTTGCAAATCCGCGTGTGGTCTATAGTCTCGGGCCGAAAAGGCTCATGATCCTTTAAAATAGTGGGCAAATCCCGCCCAGCCCACGCGGCTGACTCGGTACGGTAGGTACGGTGTAACGACAAAATGCTCCGGGGCCGGTAGGCCACCTTGTATTCACATGCCCTTGCGCCACTGGCTTTGTAGTTTTCTCTGTGTACCTTTTCTGCTTATTTTAGCAACTGCACCCTTTTGGTGCCAATCGTCACCGGTTTGACTCGCTTCCCCGATCTGTACTGAAACCCCCCGCACCCTCCACCTGTCCCTCGTTTCTCTCAAAGGCACGAAGTCTTTAATCCCATTCATTCACAGCACCATTCCCTGGGCGACCCTTTCTTTCCCTTCTTCTGCTCAACGCGAATGGACTTCCCTTTTTATTAAGCAAAGATAAAAGAGAGAGGGGGGTGATATCTCCCTGGGGTTTGCGTGGCAGCCCGTCCCCTGTGTAGCTTACCCCCCCCCCTTTCCTTATTTCTCTCACACACGCACACACAAACACAGCGACGTACATTGTGTCACCCACGCTCGCGGGTCGGTCGGTGCCCCCATGGGGGCGGTACTGCGCGCCTTCGGGCTTCGGCGGTGGGAAGGGCAGTATTTGTCCGTGTATTATTTCCTTCTAAAAATGGCGTAGCATCCGTAGGTTATTCTTTTTAGTAGCAGAAAGGGGGTTAATTCTTGTTACTAAAATAAGTGTTTAGATGATGAGATCTTAAAGGTCATGAATGGATTTCTTGCGGTGTAGCAGCATGTTCATGCTGTGTGGATGGACCGTCTTGGATTTTCAACTTATTTTTAAGCGATCAGCGCATTGAACTCATTTGACCAATCTAAATGCGGCTGGCTCCGCTTCTCTCCTTCCCCCCTCTCGTTCTCGCCCTATCTCCCCCCCTGCCTCCTTGAGGATGTCAATGAGATAGTGTGCGGGTGGCAGTGGGGCCGATGCCCAATCGACCGCATCGCACTTGACATGCGATTCGAGTCACACGCATAGTTCACAGTCAGCCCTGCCCGATCTAAAAACGAGTTTTTCGCGTCTTTTTCGGTGCGAGGTATATGGGACAGGTCGCCCTGCTGCCTCTCCTCTCGGGTCGCGGGGGACTTGGGACTTCCCTTTCCATGTCCGTGTGGCCCATTTTCTCCGGCCGCTTGCCGACGCGGCCGACGCCGTATCCTGATGGTTTCGCGGCCCTCCCCCGTGCCTCAGCCCGC